TTTTCTAGTTCCATCTATTTGCTTGCAAATTTCAAGATGTCATTGATTTTTTACCACTGAGTAGTACTCCATTGTGTAAATGTATCACTTTTTTTCCCCATTCTTCAGTTGAGGGACATCTAGGCTGTTTTCAGGTTATGGTTATTACGAATAATGCTGCTTTGAACATAGTTGAGTAAGTTTCCTTGTGGTATGATTGCACATCCTTTGGGTATATGCCCCAGATGGATATAGATTGATATGGGTCTTGAGAAAGATTGATTCCCAGTTTTCTGAGAAACCACCATATTGACTTGAGTGGCTGTACAAATATTCATTCCCACCAGTAGTGGAAGAGTATTGCCCTGACTCCTGCATCCTCTCCAATACATGTTGGTATCAGTGTTTTTATCTTAGCCCTTCTGACAGGTGTTAAGAGCTGTTATTGATTTGCATTTCTCTGGTGACTAAGGATGTTGAGCAATTCCTTAAATGTCTTTCAGCCATTGGATTCTACTATTGAGAATCTCTGTTTAGACTTGTACCCCATTTTTAAATTGGATTATTTGGTATTTTGATGTCTAGATTCTTGAGTTCTTTGTTTATTTTGAAGATCAGACCTCTGTCAGATGTGGGATTGGTGAAGAGACAGGGGGATCATGACAGCTGACATGAGCTCATGGGAGCTCACGGACTCTGGACCAACAGTTAGGGAGCCTCCATGGTACTAACCTAGGTCTTCTGCATGTGTGTGACAGTTGTATAGCTTGGTCTCTTTGTAAAGCTCCTAGCAGTAAGATCAGGACCTGTTCCTAGTGCCTACCTGCCTTTTGAGAACCTGTTCCCCCATGTTGGATTTCCTTGCTCAGCCTTGATGCAAGGGGAGGAACTCCATCCTGTCTCAATTTGATATGCCATGTTTTATTCAAGCCCATGGAAGGCCTGTTCCTTTCTGAATGGAGAAGGAGGAGTAGATGAGGAAGTGGAGTAGATGGGAAGATGGAGGTGGGGGTGGGGAGGAGAGTGGGTGGAGGTGGGGGACAGGGGACCAGGAGGAGAGAAGGGAGGGGAAACTGCAGTCACTATATAAAATAAACAAAAAATTTAAATAAAATAAATTTAAAAAATAAAACAGAGAAAGGGTAATATTAATTAATATATACACATTCTGTTGTAATAAACTAATCTGCCATGTATGTAATTCAATTATTTACTTTTTAAATTTCACGTATGTGAATGTTTGCCTGCCTGTATATATGTGCACCACATGGGTGCAGCACCCACAGAGGCCAGAAGAGGGAGTCAGATCCCCTGGAGTACAGATGGTTGTAAGCTGCCATGTGAGTGTCAGGAATGGATCTCTGATCCTCTGAAAGTAATCTTAACCTCTGAGCAATCTCGGCCTTTTCGTCTTTAAACCCAAACTTTTACAAAAGTATCAGCAAAACCAGTTTTTTTTTTTCAAGCATCAGGGTTTAAATGTCAGTGCAGTCAGATTCGTCCATTAATTGACAAACCATTTTTTAGGCTTTGCACAGTTTCTTTTACATGAGCAACAGACAAGTGGGTGATTAGGAAAAAACTCCACTCTAATGATGAGTTTGGTGAATCTGCTTTCACAACCGTATTACAATCGTCTGTGTCTTTGTTTCTTCGAGAACAATTCTGGATCATTTTAAGCATCCTTGCAAACTTGAAAAATTCCCTATTCAGCAGGAAATTCACAGAGTGCTTCTTTGGTTTTTCACACAATTAACAACTTGAAAAGAAGAAATCTGGGTTCAGCAATTCAGAGTACTTGGCTGCTCTTTTAGAAGGTTTGAGTTTAGTTCCCAGCACCCATGTTGGGTAGCTCACAACTGCCTGTAACTCCACCTACATGTGATCCAGCACCCTCTTCTGGCTCAGCAGGCACCTGCACACAGGCGGCATACCCCCACACACATACACACATGCACGAAAACAAGAATAAATTAATCTTTAAACAATCTGAAAAGAGTCTGAATTTGACATATATGTTCAAAACTGGTGAGATAGTTCACATATGACCCTACCATGTTCTCTTACTCTATACATTGAAGCTCACAGTTTGCCTATTGTTTTATAACACACATAACAAATGAGAACTCCAGTCACACAGAACAATGGAATCTAAGAGGCTTGCTTCCTGCCCCTTTCTGTTTAAATACTCTGTGGTTATTGTTATTTCCAAATTGGGTCTTAAACATAGGATAGCTAGATCTATAGGGACTGAAGACATAAACTCAGCCTACGTAAACTTGAATGAATCCAGTGCAAAAACTAATTCTGAAAATGAATGGTGTGGAGCAGTGAATACTGGGAACCCATGAGAAAACTGTAGTTCTCCAAATTACCTCTGTAAACGGTGCAGTGTTCAGGGATGTAAGCAATAGCTGGTCGTACTGGGACAGACCTGTCATTCTAGCACTCGAGGTGCTGGGGGAAGGATCAAAGACAGTCTGGGCTACAAAGTGAGGCCTTGTCTCAAAAGTACACCAAGGGGCCTGGGGAGGTGGTCAGTTGCTGAAATGCCTGCCGTGCAATCACGTGAGCCTGAGTTTGGAACCCAGCACTCACATAAAAGCTATGTGTGGCCAGGCCATGGCAGCACATGCCTTTGATCCCAGCACTCAGGAGGCAGAGGCAGGCAGATCTCTATGAGTTTGAGGCCAGCCTGTTCTACAGAGTTAGCTACAGGACAGCGAGGGCTACACAGAGGAAACCCTGTTCCTCTACACACACACACACACACACACACACACACACACACACACACACACACAAAGCCATGTGTGGTTCTGTGCCCCAGTAACGCTAGCACTGAGGTGAGGGGTAGGGGAGAGAGGTGGGTCCTAGAGCTGACAAGTTTAGCTAATCAGTGATCTCTAGGTTCAGTGAAACACCTGTTCCAAAAAATAAGAAATAAGGTGAAGAGGGGTGGTGGAAGGCATCCAGTCAAGCAAATGTCATGGGTTCAAGCCCTCACCAGAAGAAAGATATCCAGAATATTCTCTCTCTCTCTCTCCATCTCACATACACACAGATACATGCACATACATACAATTTAAAAAAAACTTTTAAACACTCAAAGATGTAATTAACCAAAAGTTCAAACTTGAAGCTAATCATATGTTACATAATCATATACTGATATGTATGACAGAGCCTGGATTTTGTCTTCATCCGTTCCCTGAAATTGTCCATGCCACTAACATCATCAATAACCACTCTGCTTAATTCGGGTGGGGAGGTGTGTTTCAGCCTGTAATCTTAGTTGACATCTCCTTCCTTCTGAAGGAGATTAATCATGTAGATGTACGCGGTTAGAACTGAGGAGGCTTCAACCGCGTAGGAAAAGAGATCTATGAAGTTCTGGCACCTACCAAGCTTCTTAAGTGATTTAATAAAACCATCATCACCCCAGCTTCTGTTATTAGGAATGTTTTTAATCTGCAGTCAAATGCTTGCTGCTAACTGACAGTCTTTTAATCATCTTATTCAAAGCTTACTTACCCCAGACTAAAAAAAAAAAAAAAAAGTGTGTGTCCCAATTCCCCAACTCCTTACCTCTTGTTCATCTTGTGATGCGGTCTAACTTCTCACTGGTCCCTTAAAACTGTCCATGATGGTGGCACGAAAGACCTGGTCCTCAGGGGAACTTTCAGCTTTTATCTTTACTTGACGGCTCCTTATGTTCTGCCCCTCTGCCCCATCTCCTCATTCTCTAAAGGTGTTGTCCTTTGACATTTATGACAGCATCATTCTTAACTGCAGAGCTATGTGTTCTTTCCCTAAATGCTTGGCTGGGGCGTCTGCAGTCTGGACAGACCTGGAAAGCTGTGCTGCCAGGGAAACCTCTTCTTAAAAAAGGAATTTAGAAACGGACTCCAAAGGAAGCTTCGGGACGATTTTATAAGTCTCTGAGAGAAAGTCACCAGGGCGGGAAGGCTGCAGATCTTGGCAACTGCCAGGCAGAGAGACGGCAAAGAGGAAGAGAGAAAGCCATGCCATCTGCAGTTGAGGTCAGCAAGCACCTGCATGTGGAAGGGCAGGGCCTTCAGAGAAAGAGAAAGTCTGGAGGTCCAGGGAACCCATGTGTAGGCTTTGGGCCAGTATCTGAAGGCAGGAAAAGGCAAAGTTAGGACAGCTCTGCTGTGCTGCTTGCGGGGTACCGCGAGCATCCCTGATGAAGAGGCTGCTGGAAGGCTAAGAACACTATGGCTTTAAGGGGACAATTAGTCCTCCCCTAGCCTTAGCTTGTCTTCAGGTGAACTAATTTCCCCACTCAAGTGATTGACAGGCCCAGCTGTAATCCTTAAAGGGAGAGACTAGCATACAAGGTTTTGGGTATCTCAGACTGTGATGTCTCCACCCAGGGTCATAGGAGAACTTAGTTCCTATTCTTTTGACCAGAGGAAGTGGCTTTACTTTGAAGGACCTTCAACAAGGCCTAGATTCTGTGCCACCTCCTTATACTGCAGTTTAAATCCTAAGGCGGGAGTTTCTTGTTCTAGTGTTAACAAGAAACAAGAGATGGGATCTGAGGCCCACCTGGAAAGAAGGGTCCATCCTTAATGGCCCCCAATCTCTGTAATGGGAGGGGCTTGTCTGCCTGGTAATCACTATTTTCCCAGGGCTGGTCTGGATAGGCCAACACATCCTTCTCTAAGCTGTTCATCACACATTTGAAGCACAGGTGTGGCGTCAGAGATGGAATGTGCACTGTCTGGGCTTTGTTGACGGCAGGCCTTTGAGAAGCAGGTCTGGAGTCCTTCAGTCCTGACGCCTCCGCACTATACACGACCTCCGTGATTCTGTGATTTCTACAACTAGTAACGGCAGAGAGATAAAGCCAGGATGGTACTGTACGCCAGCTCTCCTTAGCCTTATTCCCCAGGGAAAGGTGAGTGTGCCATCTGCCTGGTCCGCAGCCCCACTATGCAGGACAATCAGACCCGCAGCTCCACAAGGCAGGACAATCAATCGGACGCGATAGGGAGTCAGGTCAAAGCAGGAACTCAGTTTATTACTGTGAGCGTCAGCTTATATAGGTTAAGAGACATAGCGTGATGTGGGGGCACCTCCAGTCAATGAGAGACAACCAAACCCTCCCTCTGGGGCAGTTACCTAGATTTTGCTGTTTCATTCCCCCCTCAGTAGCTTTGAGACTATCCTTCAAACTCCAGCCAGGTTTTCCTCTGTCCTACTGGCCTCGAGGTACAGGCCCTGAGATAATTTTGGCCCAACACTATATACACTAATTTTTTTTAATATTTATTTACTTTATGCACTTTGAGTGGCTTGTGGACCTGTATGTACGTGCACCACGTGTGTGTCAGAGTGGGCATTAGATCCCCAGGAACTAGAGTTGCGGATAGCTGTGAGCTGCCATGCGGGTGCTGGGAATTGAACCCAGGTCCCCTGCAAGAGCAACGTGATCTCGGAAACACTAAGCCAGCTCTCTAGCTTCCCTTCTTTTCTAAACGTCATAAACTTTTACTTTTCTAATAATACAACTTGCAAATAAATTTAAAAAAAACACCACACACCAAAATTACCCAGACCAAAGTCTATTCAGCTCAAAGAACACAGCCACAATAAACACTTGGGGCAGGAGCCCATTCCATGCACTGGCTCCTCAAAGGGCGGAATGGACTCAGCTGCCTTCTCAGAACCTGGTGCTGTGAACGGCCTTCGCTTTCACGGCTGCTCTTCCCCAACCCTCCTCAGCGTTCCTTCCTTCAGCGCAGTTTAAATGTTCACAAAGGGAGGCCCACAAACATCCAGAATCTAGCCTACCTATTTAATACCCTTCACTGCAGACTTCGAAGTGTTAAAATAGTTCTTCTCCTGTCATTTCCCCCTGTCAGTAGAAAAGAAAGATGCAAATTCCTTAGGACGTGAACATCAACAGCATAGCAACATCCGTAAGTATCCTGAAAGAGAGAGATTCCCTCTCCTGCACCTGGGTCTCTTGTCGCCCAGGATGACCTTGAATGCCGCATCTTCCAGCCTCAGCCCCAAGTGCTGGGGTTGCAGGTGTGTGCCACTAGGTGCAGCCATTATCCATTCTTCAGAACGGTTCTCCTGTACGGCTCTTCCACACGTCTCTCTCTAGTGCTTTCAAATTTATTACATTTATTTATTTATTACTGGGAGGGCGAGTCATGTGTACCAAGGTAAGAGAGTAGAGGTCAGGGCACAACATACGGGAGTTGGCTCTCCCATTCCACTGTGTAAGTCCCAGGGAATGACCTCAGGTTGTCAGACTTGGCTACAAGTCTCTCTATCTGCTGAGTCATCTCGCTAGCCCTCTCTCCTCTGTTCAAGAATGCTGGCTGTTAGCTGCTCAGAGCTCACATCAGTCCAAGGCCCAGTTCTCAGAAATCTCTCGGCCTGTGACCCATATTCCAGAACTGGTTACACTTGGGCTTTCCCTCCACCCCTCACCCCTACCCCTGATACCAAGGATCAAACCTAGGGCCTCACAGTGGTCGGAAAATCCTCTGCCGCTCTGCAATACCCCTGGCCCATTTTACTTTTGATTTTGAGACAGGATCTCATGAAGTTGCCCAGGCTGGCCTTGAACTTGGAAATCTCCTGCCTCATGCTTCCAGGTAATTGGGGTTATAGGCCTGAACTACCAAGCCCAGCTTCACTCTTGAGCTCTTTTGGGTCACCGTATCATCCCAGAGCTGCTGACTAGCCATCAGGAGCTGAGTGCTTGGGGATCTTGTGGTCTCTGTCTCTCTGGGGCCACTTCTCAGGAGCTCTTGGCCTCTCTCTGTAGGCTTCAAGGCTTCTTTTGCTGTGTATCTTGTCAGCCCCAATTTTCCATACTAACCAGCTTGTTCGCTGTGAGTCACCACCCACAATTCCCACGGGGAGAAATCTGCTTAACTCGCCTCTCTAAGGGCAAACTGGGCTGTGTACGATTGGTTAGCAATGGACTGCCTAGAACAAGGTCAGACCACTGACTGGTGGGGATAGGAGCACAGGGGTGACCTAACTCCTAATGATACAACATGAACGGAAGAGGGAACTTGGGCAACTTCCTAGTGGACTTACAATGTAAGAGGCGACCTCTTTTTGAGGCTTGCGTCCTGTGCATTCCAATTTAATATGGTTGTTTTGTTTGGTTGGCTGTGGTTTGTTTGGTTTCTGTTGTTGTTGTTTGGCTGGGGGCTTTAAAAAACAGTGTCTTATTCTGTCGCCCAGGATCTTCTAGAACTTGAGTCAATCCTCCTGTTTCAGGCTTTCAAGAGCTAGGATGACAGGCATGAGCCGCTGTTCCTCACTATCAATACTGTGCTTTCCACACTGCTTCTCGCTGTTGTATCTTCAGAATAAGAGGAATGTGAGTTCCCTTGGCGTAAATAGAGAGTAACTCTCCTGAGGCCATTCAGTAATGGAGCCAGAGGATAGGAAGCCAGGTTCCCAACCCTGACACGGGGGCTTCTGCCAGCCTCGCTGGGGAACTGGGCTCAAACCTGGATAAAATTCCTGATAATCAAGAAGCATTTGTAAGTAAGGGTTCCCTCTTTATGTAAGAGGACATACTGAAAGGAATGCTGGGAGAGACTTTTAGCATGTAATTTCTCAGATAAAGCATTTAAAAATGTAAATTTGGTGTCATTTCAAAATTTGCAGGGTAAGAACTCATTTTAGAGTCTGTTTTGATTACAGACTCTTAAAAGTCTTCAGGTCCAGTTTTCTTTGGTACCTAGGAAAAGTTCAAAACCACAGAGCAAATGTATATATGTGTAAATTAATCATGAATGATATAACTACCACCTTTAAAATCCTTTTGATTTATTCCATCAGCTAAACTCTAATGATTTTTTTAAAAAATGTATCAAAGGACTACCTCTCAATTTTTCTCCCTTGCCATCTACAGCGCTCAGGGTAATCCTGTCATCTCTTAGGCCTTTGCTGACCTGCGTGGTCAAACGCTTTGTGAAAAGCTGTTCAGAAGGACGCCATGTGATGTCGGCTCACATTAATTCTCTCTCCAGGAGAGGCACTCAGTATTCAAACTGTGTTTGTGCTGGCATAATCTATTTAGTCTTCGGCTTCGCTTCTGGAGATTTACAAGCACGCTGCCTTGACAAGACTCTCCTCTCTGCAAATCCTTCGCAAGCAAGCCCGGGAAGAGAAATCACAATGTCCCGAAAGCCGCTTTCCACGGAAGCCATTAAGAAACTGGTAAATATCTGAGAGAGCTGCATAAAGATGTCCGCGACGACCGGATAATAAAGGCAGCTGCTCCCATCATAGACAAGCTATGAAAACTTAAAACTTCCACTTATGCACCTAAGGGAAAATTTCTCAAAAAAAGCAAATCCATCCATGTCATTGCATCTTTTTATGTAGAAGGTAATTTATTCACTTGTTTTCAGCTTTCAGCCACATTCTGTGTTCCTAAAAGCACGAAGTCCTTTGATTCCAATAGAATCATGATTTCATGTTAGCAAGCGCCTAATGTTTCTCTGATTGGGTTTCATATACGTCAGTTTGGGGGAATAAAAAGTGTTCGTTAAATTCCTCATTTGAATTGGATGACGCAAATCGCTTAATTGTTCAGAAAGCAATTAAGAAAAATCTTTTACTAAGATGTTGGTCTAGATGTTGATGATTCTGAAATGAAGTCTTGGGAACCTTTATCCTGGTTGGAGAAGGACTCCAGAGCGGTCCTGTTAGCTACAACCCAGTTGGCGGGAATGGGTTCTTCTCAAGTTTTGTCTTTCTACCATCCTTCTGGAGTCTGGTTCTGGTAGGTTCGGTGAGTACCAGGGGTTCTTGTGTGATGGTTGCTGGGTAATTTTTACCCAGCAGTTCAACCTCCACTTGCTGGCCCACTTCACTGAGCTCTGTGGGGACATAAGCAAAAGCCAGGCTCTTCTGGATGCTGTAGCTGTAGCCCCCAGACGTTGTGTTGCCAACCACCTGAAAAAGAAGAACAGCTGTCCTCAGCATGTCAGCATAATGGTCAGAGCGCTGCGCTCCTCGTCTCCAGATGTTTCCCAAGAATCAGAGCTGGCTCACAGCAGGGAGGAGGCTATTAGCATATATTCACAGTACAGAATACAATTCATCCTGAAATACTTACACATGTACCCCATGTCCTTCCCTCCATCCCCCCGTCCTTCTGGTCCCTTTCTTCACAGCTTGTCACCTTTCTACTTTTATGTCTTATCTACAGATATTTTTCAATCTGCATTCCACAGATGAAAGCAAATATGTAATCCTGTCTTTCCGAATCTGGTTTCTGTCCCTTAACACAATGATTTCCAGTTGCACACATTCTTCTTTGTCCCTGGTAACCTGACTAGTTAACCCTCCCACCGGCAGTGTTCGAGGACGCCTTTGCCTCTCACATCCTCACCAGCACTATTACTGTCTGTGGAGATCCTGTCTGGGCTGGGGGAGGGGATTTCAGCCTTACCTATTAGAAGGCACCTAGGTAAGGTGTGATGTTAGCAGTTAGTTTTACCACGTCTCCTAGACTCTGGAGAAATGGGCAGGAGTCCTGGCACCTACTCTCAAGAGCTTCCAGCTTAGGTGGGAGAAATAATAGAGCTACAAGAAAATAGAACCATAATGCCATGGCTTTAAACATGAAAGGCCTACTTTATAATTTGAAAACAGGTGGAATTAGGTTGCAAAAATGAAGGGTTAAAGCTTCCAGAGGGAGGGAAGGCTACAACCAGCACATGATAGATAAGTCAATAAAAATGTGTTCAGTAAAATTGCACCCTACCTTAGTTGGCAATGGGCAAAGGAACAAGCCATCAAAAACAGAGACGTTCCTAGGTAACTGGGGTGTGAACAATACCAATTAAGCAATCAAACCCCAGGTGTTGATAAAAAAAAAAAACAAACAAACCATGCAATAAGCCTCTTTAGAAGATCAGAAGGCTAGTGCAAGCCAGATCTAAAGGAAAGGATGACAGAGAAATAAAAACAGAATGCCGGGCTGGAGATCCGGCTCAGCACCCGAGAGCACTTGCTTTTCCATCCCAGCACCCATGTCCTGTGACAATTCCAGCTCCTGTAACTGGCGTCCCCTTCAGGTCCTTAGGCACTGCACACACATGGTACACACATGAGCAGGCAAACAGGCACATTAAGTAAAAACCTCTCTTTGAAGAAATTAGAATTCAAGGGCTGGAGAGATGGCTCAGAGGTTAAGAGCACTGACTGCTCTTCTAGAGGTCCTGAGATCAATTCCCAGCAACCACATGGTGGCTCACAATCATCTGTAATGAGATCTGATGCCCTCTTCTGGCCTGCAGGCATACATGGAGGCTGAACACCGTGTACATAATAAATAAATAAATGTTTTTTTAAAAAGAAATTAGAATTCAAAACCATTTGTTAAATCAAAACACTACTTGGAACAAAGACTAGAAGACAACAAAAGCAAAATAGGACATGTGAAGAAATGTACTCACACAGACAGACACACACACACATGAGGTCTTGTGACATTCTGCTGTTCCTTCTGTTCAGCACAGTGAACTGCACATGGGTGGTGTCAACACTCACAGCATGAGTCCACCTAATCCCCCTGACAAGAGCACAGGCTAGCCCTTGTCACTTCAGCCTTGTAACATCAGTGTGTGATGTTAGCACACTCATGAACTTAACCCTAGACCTTATCTCTGAGGTCCGGATTTTTAACTATTCCTTTGAAATCCTGAGTCAGAGGCTCTCCCTGAGCTTATAATGAGAACTGGCTATTAAAGACAGAAACAACGGAGTTGAATGTTTTCTCCTGGCATATGATTGACAATTAAAATACTGCGCATGCTTTGAAGTTGCTTTTTCTCCTTTGGATCAGAGCTTAGGAACACAAAACAAGGATCTGGGTCCAAGAGGATGGGGGTCTAAAGGCTGTCTCGGCGACTTTGGATTCCTTTCTAAGTCTGTAAACCAGAGATTTGTGTGGGCAGGTGGGAGAGTTGGCATGGTTTTCCTGGGTTACTTAAGAAAGAGGAAGGGCACTGGGTGACACTGGGTGCTGGACCCTGACTCACTGATCACAAGCCCTCAATCACTCAGAGATTCCTCAGCCATCCTGCTTCTCCTAAGGACCCACAGGGAATGCTTGCTGGCATTTCTTCCTTAGTCTCCTAAGAGGTCTTTGTTTTGAGTGTTAATTTTTAAAGGGGCTTTCATTTCTACTTTAGCCCGGGACAGTTTCAAAATCTAGCCTTTCCTTTTATCTTACTTATAACATCCACAGAGAAGGTTTTTTTTCTTCTAGCACGATCTACCCCAACTCCTCTGGGTTCAATTAGATCCATCCCTTCTCACCGAGGACACTGTAAGGACACGTGTCCCACCCTCCCCTAGTAGACCCTCACTCTTCGTTTATTGGAACATTGACCTTGGGATTTTGTTTTTGACCAAGGTATATAATTCTCATTTATTTTTAGCCTTTTCTCATTTGTCTCTTAAATTAAGTCTCTCACTGATGTAGGACAGCATGGAAAATGAACTTTCACAAAGGTGGCACACTTTAAAGTTGCATGGTAACTTCTTGTGCCTCTTCTGCTGTCTCTATGTGTTGGGATTTGTAAGCAGAAGGAGGAGGAGACAAAGGTAATGACAATGACCACTGTGCTTACCTCCTGAGCTCTCTAGACTTTCCCACAGCCTCTTCCTAAAAAAAGGGTCTTTCAGAACTAAAGTGCCCTTATGTCTTAATTTCTAAAAACCTAAACCATATTAAGGACAGGCATCCCCCAGCCCCAACTTGGACTGTCCCCCAAGGCTGCCCATCACCATTTGACATGCATACATCTCATGGACTTCCCTCTCTGTCCACCCCCTCTCCCCTAGTGTATAAACTCCACAAAGGCAATGGTTCTCTTCTGTTTAATTTGTTGTTGTGCCTAAAACATGGCTGGCACAGAGTAAACTACAAAAAATTATATAAAATGCATTGAAGAACATAAACTTATTTTCTGTCACCAACACTGGGAATATTTGTGGTAATAAAATGTCAAATACCAAAAGCATAGGAGATAAGCACAGTCAGGAAGCAAAAAGCAAAAAAGTATCTATCATTCCAGAATCTAAGGAATAGCTGACCAGAAGGTTAGTGTCTCATGTTTGGTTGGATAACGTAGTTAATGGAGAGGGTTCTAAATGTTCCCAATTGCCCCATGCCTTGAATCCCGACACTGGGGAGTAGAGGCAGGTGAGGCCAGCCTGGTCTACATAGCAAATTCCAGGACAGCCAGGGCTACCTAGAGAGACCCTATCACAAAAAAAACCAACCAAGCAAATAAAAATAAGAGCTGTCAACACAAAGAAATGATGTTTCTGATAATGGAGCTGTCAATCACCCTGAAATGATTGCCACACACTGTGTCACATGGCCCTTCTTAAATATGCATAATTAGTGTGTCGATTCAGACATTTGCAAACATTTTAAAAAGATGATCTTTGGAAATGAGGACTTGCCACGGAAGATCTTTTAACTAGGAATATTATACAATATATTATTTTAATTAGTTACATTGTTTATGCTGCGGACTGTTAATTTACCTATGTAAAGGTGTGTTTCTTTCGTTTATTCTGCATTTGTTTATGATATAAGAATATGCATTTAATTATGTAAAGATGTGGTGCATCTGTTTCACCTTGCCTGCTTAAGGCACCTGATTGGTCTAATAAAGAGCTGAACAGCCAATAGCTAGGCAGAGAAAGGATAGGTGGGGCTAGCAGGTAGAGAAAATAAAGTGAGGAGAAATCTAGGCTCAAAAAGAAGGAAGGAGAGAGACGAAGGAGGAGAGAAGAAGGGACACACCTGAGCAAGCCATGGGGGAGCAAGTCAGTAAGCAACATCCCTCAATGGCCTCTGTATCAGCTCCTGCCTCCAGGTTCTTGTCCTTTTTGAACTCCTGTTCTGACTTCCTTTGATGATGGAAGTGTAAGCCAAATAAACCCTTTTCTCCCCAACTTGCTTTTTGGTCTTAGTGTTTTGTCACAGCCATGGCAACCCTGACTAAGACAGCTGTAGACATTATCCTGTCCAGGGGCTTCATGCTATAGACAAAGAAATCAGGGTGAGCAATCAGGTCAAGAACCTGGTTAACAGCAGTTGGTGCTTGGTAGAAGTCATGGCAACTGTGGACGAACTAGAAATCGGAGGAAGAGCAGGCAGTTGCTGTGTAACCCAGGCTGGCCTCAAATTCACTGCACAGCTCAGGCTGGCCTGAAACTGATGATCCTCCTGCTTCAGTTTATTGAATGCTGAGATTATCAGAGTTCCTAGCTAACAACATGTACCAAGGAATGAGGTCGAGAGCCAGAGAGGTGGCCCAGTAGCTGAGAGCCCTTGTTGGGGCATTTGATTCTCAGTGTCCATATGGTGGTTCACAGCTATCTGTAACTCTGTTTCCAGGGGATCCAAAAATAGAGAAAGGAAAGAGGAAGGAAGGGCCACAAGGAACCTTTCAAACAGAAGAGCAAGCTCAGCCCTGGCTGAGATGGGAAGTGAAGACCAGCCTGGTGGGGAAGGCAGAGAGGAACTGGAGAGCTGAGGAAAGCCCATTAGCTCCACCGTGTGTAATAACATGCTCAGACAACACGTGGAGCTGTGGCGTGTAACTAGGTAGTAAAGTGACTTCAGGGTACACCAGCAAGGACAGAAAGAGGACAAACTAAAAGAGTTAGCAGTCTTTAGAGGAAGGGGCAAGAATCAAAGCTCGAATATAGGTTGATTAACTCAGCTCCATCTACCAATCACCAGCTGTAGAAACTAAACAGATTTACCCCTTCTCTCTGAGCCTCATCTTTACAATAGAGATGCTCACACATGTCCAACAGGGATGCTGCAAACCTAAACAGGCAAACAGGTGAAAAGTATCTGGTATGTAGGGGGAATTCAGCCGCAACAGTTCTATTACAAGGCTTGTGCCTTCGTTTGTGTGTTTGTTGAGTGAGGATGTGATTTGATGCCACAGGGCCCCCGACTCCAGCCACCTACCACTAGAGGGACGGAGAAAATGAAAATAGGCGTCAGAGGTGCTGCAGTCGGTGAGAAAAATCACAAGACAGGGATCTCTGAGCTTCGCACATTAACAAAGCTGTCCCTGCTCCACACAGAATGCACAGCTCTTAGAAAGGCCTCGAAGGGCCAGTGCTCTTTGTCCCCGTCAGCCCCCTGGGCATCCCTCACCAGACAAATCACATCCAGATGCTGAGCCACACTGGACTTTACAAACAGAAAAAGTGAGAAGAATGAAGACCTGTGGATGGGCTATCCCACTAACCCTGCTTAGACCGAACTTCGAGAAAGATGTGAACAATGCAAAGTTGGAAGACAGAGACCGTATTCTTCCTGAAAAACCAAATGAGAAGGTGGCTCCGTCCCATGTCTCCTGCTAAGCTTCAACCCTCATTGTCATAATGTGTCCATTTGGATTTGTGGTTGTTGTGCTAATAGTATCTTTTAAAAAGGATTTCTGAGAAATTAAATCAAATATCAAATTCTTACAAAATCAATTTTCTGCACTCACGGACATAAATATATTGCTTCCCAATATATTTAAAATCTTTGGCTATATATTTTCACATGCACATAGATTCTCCTGTTTACAAAAATGAGCGGCATTTCAGTTTCTTGTCAGTTAATTGCTTTCTTTTTCTTTAACGTCAGCTCAGAAATTAAAACTGTGCCATCCTTTCAGTAAGTGGATAAATTAGGGGGCAAAAGCCCACCCCAGTAGAGCCCAGAGAAGTTTGGTCGTGGGTGATGGGGTGGCCCTGGCACCCACCTTGCCCTTGTACCAAATGCTTTCATTTCCCTCTGGATCCACATCCTCCGTTGCCAAGGTGAGGAAGACGAGTCTCCGTTTCAGGCCCTCGGCTTTAATCTGCTTCAGGGCTTGCTTGCCTATGAAGTCGGCTGGCTGCAGGAATCCAAGATAATGATGATGAATGAGGGTTCAGACACCGTGACAAGGTTAGAGATGCAAGCATTTAAATTTGTCTTTGCTATTTTTCCCCAATTACACATTAAATAAAATTACAGATTGGATCAAACGTCTACACAAGTATTTCTTAGTGGCCAAGTGACAGTACCAGCCACGTATTCCTCTGGAATAGGTTAGACTTAATGTAATAACTTGGGAAGACAATTTTATCAGAACCAATTCATCAGAAAAGCACAAGGAAAGCACGGCCTACCGTGCTGGTGGTAGACACAAGTGGCCCTGTGTCTAATGGGTCTGGACAATGGCATCAGCTGTCTGGACAAAGCACGTCTCAATTTCCACCCATTGGAAGATATATATATATATATATATATATATATATATATATATTCTTTAATATGTGTATATATATTCATATATATATATATTCATTCTTTGATATGTGATGGATGCCAGGAACTCCCCCAAAATGCTACATTTCCCCTTTCCTTCAGAGCAAATTCCCTGGGATGTTTTAACTACTGGGCTCTCCTCATTACTTCACGCAGGACAACACACACAGGTGTGGAGTCAGACTTCAAGTGAGACCCCGTGTAGGCTGTAGGGTTACAAAGTGAGTCAGCTGTGAGTGTCTGTAACAGAGACTTTACTCCTGAGCCTGCTCTTTAGCCTTTCTTCCTCCTTCCAAGTAACACGTGGCTGACGACACTCATGCTCCAACTTGAAGGCTTTCCCATTATTAGACACCCCTCAACTGAGCAGGACACACGGGTGAGTGACAACTAATCAGTGGGGACGCTGTATAATAAAGAAAGGAAGATACAATTCCACCCAGCCAGAGTGCCAGGAGACCTTGGGTAAAGTGAGACAAATTCAGCGGAGGCTAAGAGCGAGGACAGTGCCCAGGAGAGAGCAGTGCCCTTCGGGTGAGAAGATGATAAGTCACACACACACACACACACACACACACACACACACACACACACACGCACCTCGTAAGGGGTGAAGAGGGAATTCGCTAAACAAAGCACAGCTCGCTAAAAGACATTCGAGATGCAATAAAAAAAACTCTCCAAATCAACTGTCACATACACTCAAAAACAAACAAACAAACAAACAAAAAACCCAAAACCCAAAGAAGCCGTCTCAAACTTTATTTCTCTACTAGCCAGATAGGGAACACTAGTTTGTGCCAAAGGCGTACTCTGTCGCCAGCACTTAAGATTTATATGGTGTTCTCTCAACATGAGGCCTTAGGACTGTGTGCAATAAAGCCCATGCCCGCCGGCAGTCAGCGGGAGTTCTCACACGCCTCACACCCGATGCCCCCTCACAAGCCTTCAGTGATGCTAGGCTTCCAGGATGGGTCCTGCAGGGACCGCACTATAAGTCGCTTACCTGCACAGGATGCTGAAGAAGGCTTCCATTACCCTGGGCTTAAATACTAAAAAGCCTTGTTTAAAAAGATCGGAGGAATCACTGTCCCTTTAAGACAACGTGCTTTTCTTCCCCGGAAAGCCTGTCTCCGGTGAAGTCAAACCTGGAGCCAGGGGTCTGGGTTACATCTACCCACTACGCCCACCATTCTGAATTATTCATCGAAGTATAACTTCCCCTTTTCTCCTTTTCATTTTTTTCCCCACTTCACAAAGCTTGGGCATGTTTTCCTGGACACTTGGGCTCCCTCGCTGTCTTTGTATATTGTTATCCTACATCTCAGCCCACCACCCACACCTTGCTTCCTCCCCAGGGCTGCTCACAAAAGGCTTTGCCTTCCTCTTCCTCTGCTCCAGCTCCCTCCTCTGGGTAGCTGCTGAGGTTTACAGTTTTCTATCCTGCCATTTTCTTTTAAAAACTAATAAAACTGCCCTAGAGATTTCTTCTGAGTCTGCCCTTCATTCTTTTATTAACAAGACTAAGAACCCTGAAAAGGGCCCCAATTTCTGTGGTGACAGGTGGCACCCCATGTGGTGCTCCCCAAAACTTCCAGTAACCAAATAACAGGAATAATTCAATAGAGAATAATTCTTGCTAAGTCACGTTTATGATGGGTTAGATTTATGATGGGTTAGGCTGTTGACTCAGTAATCCTCACAGTAATCCCCGGGGTAGGACTGGATAGGTACACCAGTTCACAGGGCAATGACCTGAGGCTCAGTCAATGGCAACACAAACCAGCATCTGTAGATTTGTCCATATGTAAAAACAAACAAACAAGCAAACCCATCTGTATCAGGATCCTGGGATACATGGCTGCTAGAAATACTCAAAACGCTGAGGCTGAATTAAAGATGGGAAACCCATGCCTGGAGTCCTGGCACTTGGGAGGTCAAGGCAAGGGAATTTTTGAGTTCAAGGCCAACCTAGGCTACGAGAGACCTTATATCAAAATCAAATCAATAAATTATAAGAGTCAAAATTAACCTGTAAGCCCCACCTGCCCAAGGACAAGGTAACTCCCTGAAATTGAGAGTTGTCATTCTTGGGAAATAACAAGCCAAGTGGTTTCTCTCCCCTAAACAAGTTTGTTTGAAGCAACTGCACCAGAAGTGCTTGATCACATGTAGGTGGGAGGGTCGTAGGCAGGAAAGACATCAGGATGTATGCTCCCCCCTGATTGGGTCTAACGGGAAATGCAATGAATTATGACTTTTGCCTTTTTAAGCCCCTGCACAATGTGATCCATGACTGTCTTCTGGGGACTCAGAGGTGGACCTGGCCAGAGCCTGTCTTACCTGGCCAGTGTTTAGCTAAAACTTGCTTCAAATTGGGCTCAAAGTTGTGAAACTTGTTTTTCTCTCAAGAATCTCAAGATTAACAAAACACAAATTCTCTAAAAGGAAAATACTTTAAAATTTTTCCTTCAGGTGGCCCCTGTCTGCTTTGGTTGACATTCATTATCAGTAGTTTTGTCGTGTGAAATATTTGAAAACACTCTGCAAGCCGGTACTAATAAAATCTGACAACTTCTGTCTCTATCTTGTGAGCAAGAGCATCCTTCGGCACGAGTGTAAACAATGCCCTGACAACCAAATCCCCACTGCCCGTACATCTCGGGATGGTTCGTGTAGTCAACGTGACTGGATGAGATTCGCCGACAATGCTCAACAAAGCAGAGCTCCGTGTGCCTGCCGAGGAACGTGCAGAGATTATAGCGTGAGAGCTCTGACCTAATGGTTTAATCCACAGGTGACTTCAGAATTTGCTTAGACCTATAGGAGTTGGTGGCCCTGGTTCCCTTCTGCAACTCCATTTCTCTCTGCTTCCTGGCGGCCATGGGTGGAGTCTCTCTCCCTTGGGCTCTCGCTGGCATGATCCTATACTCCAGTACATGAACTGAACCCTCTGAAACCACGAGCCAGAATAAAGTCTCCCCCTTCCAGGTTGTTTCTGCCAGGCATTTTTGTCACAGCAGTGAGGACAGTGACAGAGAGGAAGGAGTCCGCTTCCACCCCTTCACAGGCCTCTTCCCAATCTAATGGGGCTCTCAACACGGGCAGACGTAAAGTGCAGTCACCACATTTCAACCCTGTTTTATTTGGCTTACTCTCAAGATTTTACTCTACCACCTACTAATTAATTGTAAATGAGAAGAAACAAGTCTTAAGGGGATGCTGTAATCAGAAGTGGTACTTTCAGAATGACCCAAGAACAGAAATACATCTGTTTAATGAGTCATTGATGAATTACTGATATAAACAGCAGTTAATGTCTTTAAGAAATGGACCGATTTCTGAGGCACTGAGTCTTCAACTTAAAAATAGTCTTGACATGTTTTTTTTAGTGTACTACTTTTAAATACCAGTAAAAGTCATAATGTCAGCCACCTGTAACACACACTAAATATATCATCCATATATACAAAGTAGGCTGTCCGTGAAAGCTAATTACTCATCCTCTATTAGCCCTGTTAATGGCATGCATGTTACCTGAATACTGGTGTCAATTAAGTAAATTAAACCCGTGTATTTGGGGAATGAGACTTGGGGCAATGAAGTGTTTGAAGACACAGTCGAAGGTGACAGCTACAGTGGAGGAAGACTGGAACCCGGATTTGGGAGAGGGGCCTGCCGTAGACCAGAGGAGAGAATAAGGGTGAAGGCTTGGGCCTTCTGTTCCCATTTATACAGGATAAAATGCCATCAGAAAATTCAAGGGTATCTGTCATCAGTTTAACTTAAGTTTTGGGCTCATATCCTTTAAACTCAAATATTAAATGTTCCAAAGACAGAACTGAAATAAGTTTACATCCCGTGCAACAGAAACTGAATTAAGTTTCACATCCCACATCCCAGAATTCCCAAGAACCAGGCATGGGCGCCTAATCCTGTTCTGTGTTTGTCAGCCGCTGGTTACCAGCTGCTCCAGAGTACAGGGTGAAGATGAAAATCCTGGCTGCCACTGTCTCTCATACATAACTTGAGAAGCTTCTTGCTTAAAATGGGCTCAGAGAATCATGGAAGGCATCCTGGAGGAGGTCTCCTTGGGAAGCTCGTGACCATTGCTAGCCCGAGAATGGGTTAACTGTCGCATCCTCTGGTCAGCTGTTCAGTGCTCTGGGCATCTGGGTTTGACTCAGATGCTGAGAAAACTGTGTCCTGAGGTCACTCATTTGGGGAAAGGGTTGGTTCAGGCTTCACACCATCAAGACAAACCACAGCCTTTTTCAGAGGTAAACCACAGAAGCCTACGAGAGCTTATAGTCATAAGGACCGGTCTCACTATATTACCCGAATTGCAAAGCCGGCGGAGGCTGGAAGGAGATTGAGCAACCAGGCTCAAGCCTGGGCAGCCCTGGTATGCTTTCTCTGCTGTTCAGTCAAGTGCATCTTCAACAAATCCTTTGTGGCCAGGTGGTAAACAATGAGTTTGGCTGTATTGTTGGCTGGAAAATGAACTCTCCCACATACACCAAGTTTTCATTCTCGGCCCTTAGCACACAGCTGAGAAACAACTCAACTAGCGTTTTCCTAGCC